GATCGAATTCTGGTTGACAATACCCTCGTCGAGTTTGATTGTGATATCTTCTATCAGAATGCGAGCGGTTTTGTTTTCGCACGATGCTGAATCTGTAGAAAATGTTATCGAAACAGGTAAAAAAGTCCTTGTTAGGTCTTTACGTTTCCCTTTCTTGAAGTAACTAGTCTTTAATTGGTCATTTCCATCATATGTTCTGACAAGGATCGGTGTCGTTTATTGAAGATATACTTGGTAGACATTAACTAGATGCCGTCAATATATGTACGAAACACGTTACACTGTATCTCTGAGCAATATAATTAACCATTGACTGTCTCGCATGAAGGCGTACGTCTTATTGGATTAAAATATGTTAGAGTGAACAGCGTGAAAAAATCAAAGGGGTGAATGCAATGCTAAAAATGATATTAATATTCTTCTTATTTCACTTAATACAGGAGAAAGTCAACAAAACATAGTAGAAAAATAATGATTACACTCGGAAGAAAAGTTTTGCCACAAAAATATAACTAAAATGTCAGTAGATAATAATTAATTTTCTAGTGCCATACTTTATAAATGCCATACATGTTCTGTTTTACAACCAGTATGTTATAGGTATAACTGTATATGATATGCTGACCTTGAGGTTTCTCGATAGATAAGTACGTGATTCAGCCTCCAGATATTTGATAAAATGACAGTCTAGACACTAACGTATGTGTTTGACACTGAAGCACTGAAATCAAATTAACTTTAAAGAATTAGCTCCTTCCAACCCTCTGTTGAATTGACTTTCCGTGCTTTCATAATAATATTTCATTGACAGGATGTACGCAGAGCAGAGATAATGAGGAACTTGTCCAATAAAAGACTAATATCAATTCAAATGGGTATGTGATGTAATGATTTCATTGGAGAGGGGAATTAATAAGTCGGCAATCATGAGGTTTGTCGCTGCCTCACATTAAATAATCGTTTCCCATCTAATGCGACCCCCCTATCCCACCATAAAGAGAGCGAATGCTATTTTTTTCTTACTACGGATAGGCAAATCCACAGTTTTACCGATGTGAGATCTCTTTATTTCATCCTAGGATTGAGACGGAGGGACCCTCCAGTCAGGACAATGTATACGTCACAGTAACAATTCACTGGCATCTCGTCTATAATTAAATCACTTCAAAGATGCGAAGCGCCGAGACAACAAAAATACATACGAGTACCTAATATTGCTTGTAGGGTAGGATAAAAATATTCATTCACCCCTGTGTTGATAAGATGGATGATCTCAACCCTCGGGTAAAGATGATGCAAACCCTCGACAAGCCTTAATCATCTTTCCCCTGAGGTTGTCATCTACCTATCGCACTTCCAAGGGGATGAAAAATTATATTCTCATACCTTGCTGACCTCCTCGATGCCTTGCATCGTTGAAATAACTTCATAAATATGAAAAGGGAATCTACATCCCAATCCACGGATGAAACATGGAAATAGGGTTCTTGGAGTAGCCGTGGAGACAGACCATATGCTCATATTTATCAGTATAAATTTATGTCGATGTGACTTCAACGTGATGATGATATGACATCATTTATTGGGAGATTAACAGCGAATGTACCGTCACGAGATGTCCCAAACGACAGATTCGATTATTAATTGGTGTTATCTCCGGAAATTCTCTCTCGTTGATGTGTAATACATTGGCATGCGTATGTTGATAGACTTTCATCCATGGTCATATGCCTTGTTGATCCCGGCATGATCATATAATATACAAGGAGCCTTTGAGTCAGTGACGTTATCAAAGTCATAGTGCACATCCATATCACTTCAGTCATTTGTTAACGGTAACCTTAAATGTTCCCATGTCTAGATTGATACCTAGGAGAGCCCTATGTTGTGATGCTCCCAATGCGTCGCACCTGTATACAGTCGTTTCTTTATTAACACTGAAAGTTGCCATTCAGTCATGTATTCCGCACAATCTCTATTCCTACAGTTCCTACAGTTGTCATGCGACGGAGTAAAAGTCTACTCTGTTTGATTTATCATTCGTTATGCTAGATCTCAAATGTTACCTGACTTGTTATTTCTCAAGATAAAGACGAAAACAAAGATGAAATATCAGCATTTGAGAATGATAATGCCGAATGGAGTCTTGCTCGTTAAATATACATGTTTTCACTGGCTAGGGGTTTCAGTGGTATCAATGAAGTATTATGATCAGCAAGCAGGTATAACACAGCAAAATAAAAAAAAAGAATTGTTTATAGAACGTGTTACTTCATATGAAATATAACATATCCCACATAATTTCACAGTTAACATAAAAGAGAGAGGTTAAAGTGCCAAAACTGCCCTAAAATGCAGTGTTTTATTGTCATGATTTTGATGTCAAATGGAATCGAGTAACAGGCATGCCCTATCTACGCCCTGTCCAACATTAGGATTTAGTTTCAAATGGAAAGGTAAATAAATAGGAAACACTTCCATCTTTTGATTAATGGGGGAACATTTGATTTATGTTTTAAGAGTAGAGATGTTCATTACATTGCTTGAAACAATTCTATTTGTTCTATCATGCAGCCATGAATTATTTTCATTTCTGTATAAATAGAGTCCATGACAAAGACTTAAATTGATAAAAGTTAACGGTATGTGATGAAGTTTACAGGTAGGATAAAAGCTCATTGACTTATGGATCGTTGGGTTGGAAGACTGAGTGTGCATACGTTAAGCATTCAAAGTGTTCAAACGTCGACATTTTGAATTCTTTATCAGCATATAATACGCTTGTGTTAATGCTAACTGGAATACGCTATTGCGATGATCGTCGAAATATCTATATTCTTTTTATAAACATGCTGTTTCTAGTAACGTATTCAGATATGCAAACTTGGTGAATGAAGGGAGTATTTGGTTGCTCTCATTTCTGGACACAACACTTCAACAAATTACACGGTGATGCACGCACCTAATGTCAACACAGTAACACCGAAATATAAACGTGCAATTCACAGAATTTGCCTGTCCCTCTTGCTTTTCGCTGGAACTTGTCCATAGAATTTCTCCTGAATATTCTAATCAATTTCAAAGACACTTTTCACTTATCATTGCGCTCCCTGCATCTGGATATCATTTTTTTCAGTCCCCGATTTTGTTTCATCTGGTTAAATTTGGTATAACTGTTTGTTTGGTTTTCAACATATTTTAATCAGTTTTACATGCTTAGAGAAACTATAGTCTGTAATCGGTTAAGATATTTGCCCGACAACCTTTTTGTAAGAATATGTTCCGCCCGTCGAATTTTCGTTTGAATTAAGATTGTGTTTACATGTCCATGGCTTAATTTCTGTAATCCTTAGGGTGCGAGTTGTTGTTTTTATTTATAGTATGGACGCTTACGGGGGTATTGATTATCCTTCAGATGACTGGCAGTTCGTATCATCGTCAACATGTACTTTTGATTACTTCCGTGACTGCAACTGTAATATAAACACCTGCAAGTGTTTAGGTATTCTTGGGATACTGGTTGTAGTGAGAATTATCTTTGGGATACTATTTGGAGCTTTAATAATATTGTAATAGATTTATCAAATCAAATTTCGGTGAAACGAAAATAAAAATAAAATAAAAAAGAACGCACTAACAATATGTTTTAAATGACGTGGCTTACGTTTAACTCTTCCTTTTGAAATGTTCAATCATTTAGTGCGAATTTTTATTGTATATGAAGAAGAAATAACACATGTGACACTTTCTATTGAAATATCCAGGTTTATGACACATTGAGTTCCCCTGATATTCAGTTGTTGTATATGTATATCACTCAGAAATATGAGTAGATGCACCATAACAGTTAACAGTATTACCAATTAAGGGTTATCCTCAGTGTACAGCTGCAAAGCATGAGACGACGATGAAGCAGTGACTGTTGGATGTAGTGAATACTCTTTTTTTATCAATACAAATGTTATTGTTCTGTTGTTTAACATCTGTATGAATAAATCGAAAACACATCAATTATCATGTAAAATTCTGTATTTATTTGTTTTAGATTTCACTTTATGATGCATTTAAATAAATAAATAAATAAAGGACACGCAACAAAGTATTGAAAGAGATGGCATAGTATAATCCATGTCAGTGAGGTGAGTTAATGTAGATGAAACGCTTAATTTCCAGTATTCTTACATTTTTACAATGATTGTCTTGATGTGAATTTCGGTCAATTAGTGGAAGGAATTTTATAGACACAGGCTAAACGAATCTTTATCTTAATATGTACATAACATTACACGTTGCCGTTACAACAAGCAGTATATATTTTTAAAGTTTACATATTAATTGATTTATTGCCAATATATACACGTAAGAAGGCGCCGGTCTATTTGGCGATTATGTACGTTTTGTTTTACGTTAAGAAGGTGTTACAAATGTCATGTATTTCCTCACATTTGTACTTCAATACTGCAGTCAACAACTGGCAACTATCACAATGAACACGCCGTGGACGACTTGTCATGATACCAGGTTACAGTCAAAATAAGGTTTTCAATCAAACGATTACTTATGTTGAGTACATGTTTGATATACATATTTTCAATATTTATCATGATGATCACCTATGAGATTTTTAGTGCAATCCCCTAAAAACAGGAATGACTGAAGCATGAAAGACAAAGTAAGAACAAATATGTTATCTCGCCACCGAAAGAATTGCCCTGCCACTGAAACATTAAGACAATCTCAGAACTAATATGTTATCTCGCCTCCGAAATATTAGTGTCAGAACTGTTAAGTGCTGCCACCGAAACATAATGTCAGAAAATAATTTCTCAATCTAGAAATGTTGTTGCGAAAACCACCCCACCGTTATAGTGTCAAGCCTTTTAAACAATTCACGACATGTGCTGGTTATTGACCCCAGGCATGAAGACAGTGTGACAGTATGCTGGATATCTGAATTCGAATGAAATTCAACAACGCGCCACCTGGAGAGGGCGAGGTGGTCAACAAAAGCACCATGTGCTAGGTTTTTTCGATGGTCTGGGGAGCATTGTTGAGGTAGATTCTGTATTCAGAGATGGGTGAAGCTTGTACTTGTCAATAATCATATCTGCAAGTGTTTCGAAAACGCCATTCACAGTATGGGTATTATCACTACGCACTTCCATGTAAGGTATTCCAATGTGTTCCGCTAGTTTTTCTGCCTTTTCTCTCGGAACCTCTCGCTCTTCTGCGTCACAATTATTTCCGACTAGAATCGTTGAGATCATTTCTGGTGAAGTGCAGTAAGCTTGCAGATCATTATACCTACATGTACAAAAGGAAAGAAGGTGTTCAAACAAGGTGTATGTGGTTATCATTAATGTGTACGATGTGATATCTAAAGCAGTGATGTTAATTGAAATGTTGAAAGTCTTTAAATAGGATTTCATGGGATTTGCCTGTGTGTTACTCGCAAATATATTTACGTTCAGGAATATTGTTAAAATATCATACATCTGATTTTAATATTCAAGTACTTATTATTTTCTCTGTTTTATCACTATAAATAGATATTATATAGGTGAATGTGTTCTGAATGATGGGAAATAGATTTTAAAATCACTAACTGCATTGTATTTGACTACAGAACAGCGCTAACAACATGTTTTATACCTGGGTATAATTTTGTGATAAAACGTTTATCGTCAAATTGTACATTGTGATAATTAAATGAAGATACTTCAGCTGAAATCATTTTTATATAAAGTGATGTTTATCATCAGGGAGAGAAGGACACATCAATAACGATGGTTTTAGTTATGAATTACGAACAACTGTATCATGCTATATTTACTTCTGTTATGTTATTATGACGTATAGCAATATAATAACACATGATAAATTCCAGAGTGTATTAATAGAGCTTGAAAATCTATTTGTGCTTGTCTACATTTATACGAAACAGATAAAGGAATCCGATAGTGCGATAACTGGAACATTTCAGCGTCAGATTCACTGTGATTTACAATGATATCAGACTTTTAACATGGTATTTCCAGTTATATTTAGAAAATTATCACATAAGGAAAAAATGTACCATTTGTAAAAACTGCTGTATACACCAGCATCAAAGTCTGTTTATATAAAATCTAGTTGAACATTCGGTTATATAATAAATTACTTACCACGATTGGACGCTGTCGAAAGTATGTCCTTTTGTAACATCAAATAAGATGAGGCAGCCGTGTGTTCCTCTGTAGTAGGAGGAGGTCAGACTCCGGTACCTCTCCTGACCTGTAATATAAAAAACAGATCGACTACTTAACGTTAATGTTTGTTTACTCGTCTTCCTTTTAAACATCTTTCTTTTTTGATAATTTTCTTCCAATGGGTCCTGTTTGTGCAATTTAGTGCTGTGTTTAGACAATTTATTTTCTAGAAAGAAATAAAAAAGCTGCAATATTTTCTTTACATTTTGCATACATCTGACTAATCTTGTGTACATATAATTTCATGAACATTTACCATCTAGGCAGGACTTAATTCTTATCACCGTCATTCTATTCTGGTCAACATTGTCACGTTTACCTGGTTAAATTATTGACACACTCTGACCACTCGTTTCGACATCACGTGTAATGTTAATCTGGTTCCAAGAGTACACACCCTAGGTCAAGCATGGGCTGGTCATAATATAACTTACCCATGTTTGTAAAAGCTCTGGACATTTAATTATGGTTGAAGGTGAGGTTACAATATAATGTGGTCAAGAGATATTGGACATTTAATTTGTCTATAAGTATCTCATTTTAATATTGGAGAATAAATATGTCTTTAACTTCCTCAGATAAAAAAAGTCCAATGCGCTAGTTCTTGACACATCGATGGCAACGGTCAAGGTCATTAATGAATACAAAGAAACACAAAAGCACTGGACAGTGTCCAGCTGTTTGCTTTCTGAAAGGGTTGTATACACGATCTAGATAACTATGTTTGCCGTGCGAGGTCGTTAGGCAGAGGAACAACGATATTAGTCTGTCTCTAGCTTTACTTACATGGTGTTTCTGTCAGAAAATGTGTTTAGGTCAAGTATTTAGTGGAGGGACGATTATGCTACTCTTAGCAACGTTAAAATTTGAACAGTGATGATCTGTACACAAATGTATACAATAAAAGTGTTATTATGAAGAATTGTGTTACAATTCTCAAAATAGATACACATTTACTCTTAAGGGTTGTAACTATGAAAAAACAGTGTATAGTTGTATATGTTTACCTTATACACATTAAATATAAATTCTGTATTTCCTCCAAGGGTTGTTATATTTATTACTATGTATGAAAGCATACATGTAGTATTATTCTGGATTGAGACAATATGTACTATACATATGGTATTGATAACTCTGGTTGTAAATATATAGTGGTGTAGTTACAAACAGCTTGACCGTTTGCTTGTAATGGATCATGGGATATCATCAGTTTCTGTCCTTCTAGATAAAATAAGTGAATTCAGATATAAGCAGCTTAAGATAGGACACCTCGTTTCTGCTTGACCCGGTACATTATGTCATCGTTTAAAGTGGGACCACAATGAACATGTGTACTACTAATATCTGCTTTCGTGTAGGTACATTTTCTATCAGAGTTAACACGGAGTTCATGGTTAATGGCATTATAAACAATGTCATTGCACCCGTAACTTGAAGGAGAGATAAGTTTCTACCTGTCTACAGGTAAATAGCACGTGTGTGTCTAACACAAACAATGACGTTATGAGGTTGATGGTGCACTTACGTCAGACCCCTATTTAAGTTACATTTATATTAATACTAAGTTGCATCTTTATTATAAATCATTCTACTTGCACCAGGTTTCGAAGAAAAAGGGGTTTTTGTTTAGAGTTGAAGATTACGATCACAAAACTCTAGCTTTAGAGCAAAACGATTTTTTTTTCTTATTTTTTTTGTTTTGTGTTTTATGTTTTGTATTTATTTCCTTATGGTATCGCTTTCACTTAATATGCATATGCAGACTGCTAAAACTTCTAAGCATATATGCGGCATTTTCTTTATACAAAAATTACCTGCAGTATCACAGACTGTCATTTTCACTTTTCCGTTAACTCGTTTTACGTCCGAATTGTATGATGCTTTCCTTGGAAGTGAAGCATTTGAGGTTCGCACAAGATTATTTTGCCGCTGTCTCACTTGAGTATAGTCACAACCTTCGTTTTCAAAGGTTTCGAACATAGCTGTTTTTCCAACACCACTTGATCCAAGAAATATCACTTTCACTTTAAGTTCCACATAGGGTTCTTTCGGAGCACTTCCTTTGTTGTTCAAACCAATATTTTCTGTTATCAGTGTATTGTTCGTGTGATGGCTTTTGTTAAGTGATAGAAATTTCATGTCTTCCGCCTCCCTCCACTGGCGATGTCGGATATCCCCTGTTTGTTGTTTTGTTGCAATATTTCTGCTGAAATCTCGTTTTGAATTTTCGTCAGTGAAAAGAATCTGACTAAAGTGAATGTTATTTTGTCGCTGAGATTTCTGACCATCGGAAGGCTGGTGAAACAACACATTAGAATGGTGTTTTTCGACAGTAATATCATTCACCAGGGAGTGAAAAAATAAAGCCATTTCATTACCAAAGGTCCATTCCATCTGTCCACTACAGAGTCTAGTGGTAATAAGCACGGTACAGGAAAACGTAATAGTTTTGAAAAGCACAGTAAACACTTACTTGTAGCTAGCCCATGTGCGTAGACGTATTTTTCACATCTTTGTTGTTAAATATGTTGTATATGCTTAACGTAACCTTGCAATATAAATGCAAATAATAGGCACTGTTACAATTGTCGACGAAAGTTTTATGAATTTAACAACATTTGAAAATGTCACATGTATCACCGTCCCCAACATGTGAAAGATAATTTCTATGAACCATATGCTATGACACGTGCATTTAAATATACATTCTACGATAGTGGATATCGTTATTGTCCAATGAAATGTCTGTCCTGCTCTCGATGGGCGGGACAACAATCCAGTGAAAGGTTCACAATCGATAAAAGCGTGATATAAATATAGCATCTCAGTCGTCCTTCGGGTGTGTGTATATTTATAACACCAAACAATGGGAGAAACCTTGGGGTTGACATTGTGACTTGTGTTAAGTACACAACGACCAAATTTGTTTTGCCAGTCCTGGTATACATATCGTCTTATTCATATCTACAATGTTTTGAATTAAGGCAGGTTAAAGTAGCATAGACGGCGTTGGATATAAATGATAGTTTACTTTCAAACTTTTCAGTTATCAAAGAGTTGAACATAAGCATCCTGAAATCAACATCAGGAAGGTATTAAGAGGCGCAATTTTGTATCTATGATTTTTTATTTATTTCATTTGAATGTGAACATCTGATATTGCTTGTGCTATGACAGTAACTCTTAATTTGATACCGTCATTAATAGGATTAGGTATTTAGACAATGCATGGATTGACTGTAAATCACTCCTTAGGGCATACAAAATCAGCTTTGAACTTCGAAATCCTTACATTTATAGCATATGAATCTAAAGCCTGCGAAATGATTTTTAATCTACTTTGTTAATAATGAAGACAAAACGCATCTTTCCTTTAAAAGTAATATATGGTTTTCTTCTGAATGACGATCAACATCAAATAGTTTTACGTCACAAATCAAGGTTCTGTACCCTCTACATCTAATGCTTCTCAAAAGCGATCTTGTTCACTGTGATTCATATTCGATACTGCTGTTTGCACTGTTTACTATATTTATTATTATACAACTGTTTAGGTTGTAAATACTCTTCATTTACTATATCCAGCTTTAACTGTTCACGACCGTATTTGTGTAAACCATCATTATTGACTTTATTCATTGATAACTATTTACTTCTTATATTTCTTTTGTTTCCGTTGTAAACCATTTTCGTTCACCATTTTCAAAATTAAGTGGTGTTAATTTACATGTCGCTGTTGATTCCTTACTCAAGTGTCTGGTATGAGTACCACGATTTTCGTGTAATATCTTGTCAATTGACTGACAAACTTATAACACTGGGTTTCAAAAGATGCAAGTTGATGAAAATTTTGAGAAGTATTATGGCAGTCACAGTGATCGCATTGAGAAATATTATTTGTACGATATGAAGATGTTTGATTTTTCGTTAGTTTTGCATGTTTTACTATATACAGCATTAACTCCGGTTTTTTTTTCCTTATCTTTCTTCTGTTGTTTTCGCCATATTTGGCTATTCACTACATTCACCTTGAAATGATCTATGGGTTATCGTAGTTATAATCATTAGTACAGTACAGTACAATGAAGTGTATGAACTAACTAAGACAATGTCACGGTCACATTTAAGGTTTCATAACTGCTACGTAAGCATCCGTATCTATGAGCTTGGACAGTGGTAGGAGATATTAATGGTCTTCGCTGATGCGTTGTCATGCTTGACAACTATGTCTGTGACAGACATAAAACTCGTACAAAGAGTCGTGGCTTAAGGGAATCTGAAGCAAACAGAAGAGCCGCAAAATAGTCACATATGTTACAAAAATTGTCTAAAATCATCTATACATGATATCGATTAGTATGTAGACAGTATATCGGTAACATAAGCTTTCAAGCCATGTTATGTTATTATATGACGTCAGACGTGAAACCTCCGAGTCTAGCACCTTATTCTAACATGTAACCACTCCCGATAGTTGAAAATGAAAATACCTTTAAAACCAGGCGGTAATATAATATGGTTGTTTTTGTACTTGTGTCTTTTGACTTTAAATGCTAGTCTCATATCATACAACCTAACGGTTCTCGCTTTATATCACAACTTGTGTTTATTTCTATGCTTGATATGTTCTCTTTCATCTAAAACATCTTAATATCCCCTGCATGTGTCAAATTCTATATGGTTCTCAGTTATGTTATACATATAGGTAATGGAGGTTGATTACAAATTCCATATACCCAATGTCTTAAATAATCATTGTTTCAAGCTTTTTTTTGTAAATGCCAACAGTAATATATTTTTTAAAAAAAATTTCAATTTGATTTTATAAAACACGTGTGAAGATATAAATGATCTTGTGTCATGACTATCAATTTGAACAGTTTTGTGACAATCGAGAAAAGTACCAAATTGCTGCATTGAAAGCTATGGGGTTTTTTTTGCAAAAAGGGATCAAGAGTTTTAAGTTAATTATGTATTTATATGTTTTTAGTTAGTTATGAGCTATGGTTTTATTTCGCATAAATGCATTGATAGTTTTCATTTAATTATGAGTCGTGGTTGTTCGCCAAAATGTAATGACAATTTTTTGATAATTATGTTTTAATTACGATAAGAAACTTTGCTTGATTTACGAATATATTAACAGTTTACTAGATAAAGTGTTACAATTAAGTGGCATAAAAAAGTCTAAAATACTTTATATAAAAAAGGAATAAAGTAACATATCGAAAAAAACAAAAATGAAAAGTTTATAGAAATAATACCTCAGTGAAATCTAGACATGCTTGGATTGTTGAATACATTTGATGTGAAAATGTGTATTTCAGCATTCCTTAAGAAATGTATTTTTAAATGTGTTACAGTTGAAATTGCGATATGTAATATGTATTTATTACACATCATATTTGTAACATGACCAATTGGATAAACATAAATATATATAGATTTATACATAGATGAAAATAATATGAAATAATTCCGAAGAAATTTTGTACACAGAAAAAAATAAAACAAAAGCAAAAATTGATAAGGGAAAAAATGGCACGACAGGAGACAGTCGAACCTTCACAAAATGTTGTACAATTCTCACGAAAGTTGCACCTATTCGGATACCGTTCACACGACCTTTGTTGAGTATATAGCTGTTTCATCTACAAAAACAGAAGATATATAGACACTTTAGATGCCAGATAAGTGAAAAAGAAAAATGATAAGTTGTAACAGATGACACAACACCTGTTCAAAGTGACTGAGACAATACATATATGTACATTGAAATGCAGTAGATTATATTTCTTTTCGTTGATCTTTCCCAGCTACCACACTATTCTCCATTCGCGAGTTTATCTTTAATATAAAGACGTCCCTACTGCTATTTCACCAGACAATCTGACCATCATTATAACTGGATAATCTTCACTTCATGTTTGTAAAGCTTCCTGTGCGTTTGTCTTTCCAGTCTGTTACTTTCTTAAAACGAGTTTTTCGTTGTTTTATTTGATTCAGAGTTTGTTGAAAAGTTTTATAATATAATTATGACAATGTTTATAAATAAAATAGCTAGGAGTCTTTCACGATGTTATAATGAATGTGTTTTCTTTGTGTATTCTCATGCTTTACAATTCATTATTGTATAGTAATTGTATTATGTCATCAGTTTGTCAGTTGGAGTCATCACGGCAGTATTATAATTTGACTTTAACAATGCATTTCGACGAAATTACTTAATTTGTTTACGACGATATTATTGTAATATAACCTTGTGATGAAGACGGAAGTACAAAACTTTTATGAATACAACGTGGTATTATAACATTGTCAAATTAATGGAAGAACTCAAATTTGATGATTACGATATTATCGAAATGAAATAGAACATCAGAATGGAAAATTTGATGATTACGATATTATCGAAATGAAATAGAACATCAGAATGGAAAATTTGATGATTACGATATTATCGAAATGAAATAGAACATCATAATGGAAAATTTGATGATTACGATATTACTTCTAAATGAAATAGAACATCAGAATGGAAAATTTGATGATTACGATATTACTTCTAAATAATGTCATAATGACGCAAGTGCTCAAATTTGATCATTATGGTAGTGTTACCGTATGATTGTGACATAATTACCACCACTTAGTTACATTTAATGTAACACTGACTGTATGACGGTGGTATTTTGACGTTGTATTGCAATGTGCTTGTAACTTAATATGGTTATATATCATGACGTAAAATGAATGTTGTTTTATAATCATTATAATCGTTATAATCATTTTTAATTGTGCAATTAGGTCTGTAATTACACTATGTTAGTGTGGCCATCATATTACGATGTAGTAGTGTAGTATTAACAAGGCAGAATGTAATTATGACTGGAGTTTGATAATGAAAACATTAAAACCATTTTATAACGATGTAACTAGGACTGTTACATTACAACGCTATTATAACAATGTAATAATGACACGTAATTGCAACGTAATGATGAGATAGTATTATAACATAATATTGAGGATAATATTTAAAAATGACAATAACTTAACAATGTGATAATGACGGTGGTTTTCAAGCAATGGCGATAAATGTACATATTAGTTATGATTTTTATCATTTAATTATGAGTATTACAACAACATAATAATAATTATAGTATTGTAACTTTATACTGTAGTTTAGATGGAAATATATAATTAAACAATGTAAATATGTCGCATGTATCATATGTAAATTTTACATGTAATTGATACAAAACTAATAATAGCCGAGGTGATTTCACGTATAAACAACCATATATATATATATATAACAGTGTCGTGTATCGCCTGGAACAGAGATCGATAAATCATGGACCAAAATAAAACGGGATATGATTGATAGAGGAAATTCCAAATATGATATTATTAGATTAACCTAAAATAATATTGTATTGAGTTAATGACGTAAGAGGAAACCCGATGTATTTA